AGTATTGTTTCTCATATTAATTATTACTAGAATCAATCGGTTAATACGCTTGTTATTAATCCGGTTCTTTCAACGGTAGTAAACTTGGAATATTAATGCATGCATCTCATGGTTAATATGCCAAGGGGAATTAATTATATTGATTAAACCAATAAACCGCTTGTGTTGAGGTTATCAATCTCAATCGTTTTCATCTTAAGTTTATTGCTACTATCAAGTTAATATACGGCGCTTGTTCTATATTGACTCGATAGTAAGTTTTATTAATGAACGCATCTCGTTATTAATAACTACCCTCGATGAACTGGATATACTCCTCGATTGAGTATTCGAGAGGAAGATAGTTAAAGATATAACCGGGATCGACGAACATTTCATTAAGTGGATAAAAGCAAAACCAAGTCTTCATCTCATTGAATTAAACTCATATAGGTTGTTTATCTTAGTGTTATTAAACCAAACAAATCTAAACCCCCCTTGTTACTATTTATATAAAAGAAAAGTATTCCTTTCCCTGTGGATACGAACCTTACTACACTATACTACGTATTAGTGTCGTATTGATAAATTATTTTGAGTGCACCTAACGACGAGTGCACGTCAGAGTGCGCTGAGGACGGTGGGATTCTGAGCCAGGCTGGCTATGATGGCCGATACAGCGGCCTGGAGCTGAGGGTCAACAGCGGGAAGTAGTCTGTTGCCCCGATGCATGGTCTCCCTTCTCCATGCGTTTCTTCTCAAGGCCGATACGGGCGTCTTGAGCGTTGTCGTTGAGCTGATTGCCGAGATCAGCTGCGTGGTCGATAATCTCTTGGAAGATTTCCTCTTCCGCTGGCTTCTCGGCCGTAGCGTCTCCAGAACGCTCATGCCCCTCCTGAGCCTCGGGGATCGTCTTGCCGAAGAGGTTGCGGTTTGACCTTGCTCTTCCCATCTTCAGTTAGCTGTGCTTGGTAGCGACGAAGGATGCTAACTTGATTGTTCTAGCTCTCAACGAGAGCACCAAATGGTAGAGTATAAATCTAGAGAGAAGCGAGAGCTAGAAAGAGAAGTGCAATAAGTTCTGCAATAAATGAATTTGTCAACCCCTACAACTACTCCCAAGGGGAGTATTTATAGAGGAAATGTGGGTTGGGTTCCCAACTCTTGGGTTTGGGAGGCCCAATTACAATGGGGCCACTACTGGGCGGAGTACAAATTATGTAGAAATGACTAAGTATAAAAACCAGCTCCGTGAGCTCTCTGTGACCGACGGGGGTGTGACCGACGGAGATATGGCCGACAGAGACCCGGCCGACGGAGACACCTGGTTCTCCTGGCTTCTGGATCACGTTCTGAGTCGATGATTTTCTGGATGATGGAGGGCCATCTGACCAACGGAGGTCCCACCAGGTGACAGTTGTGCCTCTTGTTCTTCTGAGTATGTGGGTCCTGGGGTCTGGGCCCATATACTCCATCACAACTACTTTACCATTTATTTTCTTAAAACTCACACCAAACCATATGTATCTTACATTATGGAACGGAAGTAGTAAGGATGATTTCTTTTGGACTGTGTTCAGTTCCAGACCAACTAGATCAGACCAGACCAGAGCATAACAAACTTCCATAGTTATAAAATACACAGAGACTAGATATTTAGCAGACCAGACCAGACCAGTTCAGACCAGATCAGACAAACAAATTTCAGTCCAAAATCAAACATTCTAATATTCATTTATGTAAATGTTTAAATAGGTATTACATATAAATATATAGAAGGGATTAAATACAAGCACCTCCTAACTTACAAACAACAAACTCATCTTGGTCATCCGTTAAGTTGATCTAAATGCTATAGACACACAGTGACATTTTGGTGTAAAACTGGATTTTTTTCAAATGCAGCACTTTGAATGTTAATATTGCTCATTTTATAATGCAAAACAAATAATGTAAAAACGCATCGTATAAATATTTGCTTAATAAGCAATGATACAAACATTGTACCAGATCCACCCTTTGTATAATTAAAGCATGAACTATGAGTCTATAAATTTATAAAATGAGATTGAGACTTGAGAGTAGTACAGAGAAGAATAAGAATTTAGAGTAGAATAGAAAAGATATGTGAAAAAATGATAGGAATTTGAGATATTTGTAGGAATTTTAGACCTCGACCCCCCAAAACCATTCACAAATGGCTATGTATCCGTTGACAATGGCTAAAAGCCCACCAACTCCTCCTAATTTCTTTTAAAGGCAAATGATTGTTGGGATCGCCGGATCGAGATTGGCAGTTCAGTCCCACATATTGCAAATTGGGACCAGATACCCCTCTTACACAGTCAAGAACCTAATTTTGATCCGGACCGGAATAATGGACCCGATCCAGTTCCAAACAATACCGGATTCAAGACAGACTGCCAGATGAGGTCCACCTATGGATGAATTGGGACGGGTCGGCCCGACCCAGGCCCTGCTCAGTACTGTTTAGGCCCATCCCGGGCCTGATTGACCGGGACCGGTAGCGACCTAGTCCCGGACCAAAGGTTTAACGGGACGGGCCTCGGGCTCAAGAAAAATGGACCGTCCCAACCCGGGACTAAGCCTAACGGCTTTGTTTTTAAAAAAAATGGGTTTAAATGGAAGGCATGATCCAGGCCCTGTCTGAGGCCTGGTCGAATAGCTCGGACCGGAACTAGTACCAGTACAGACCGGGCCGGTATCGGGCCTTTCTTCTTTAGTACCGGATCCCTCCCAGGATCAGGACCGGCCCAGCCCGGCTCGAGTTCACCACTAGGTCCACCCCATATACCTTTTTTAAAAAGACATCTTACCATTATTTAATGTTAAATCTTAGAAGGAAGGGAAAAATGCTAAATGAGTCCTGTTGTATCTCAAAATAGTCAATTAGGCCCTCGAACTAAAACAATACCCAATTAAGTCCATCAACTTTAGAAAAAATGTCAAATTTTGAATTTAACATGTGAAATCCGATTATCCGGTTGAGTAGTTGACGTGGCACTCCACCTAGATTTTATTTTCTTTTTCCTTTTCTTTTCCTTTTCCTTCTCCCTCTCTCCTCCTGCTACATTCTTCATCCACCATCCCCCCTCCCGATTTTTCTTCTTCTTCCATTTTCTTCATTTCTTCCTTTCTTTTCTCTTCTTCTTTCCTTTGATCCTTTCTTCGAGTGAAATTCGTCCGGCAAGCACGAGTTCAATGGCACCTAAGGTGTAGAACACGGACGGTGGAATTTCGATCTTGTCGGCCAAGGATGGCAGCACGGCGGCGGTGCCAGAGGTGTAGAAGATGTCCGCCGGAATTCCGAGCTCATCGGCCAAGAGCTATCCTTGTCAGAGGTGTAGATGAAGTATAATGGAATTTCGAGCTTGTCAGCCAAGTTGCCATCATCGCCGGAGGCGTAGAAGACGTACGACAGAATTTTGAGCTCATCTTCACCATCGTTAGCGCCGTTGGCCACCTTATCAAGTGAATTCTTTTCGTCGCCGACGATGACCGACTCCAATGAGGTCTCAACACGAAGGTTAAGAACTCCTCAATCCAAACCGCCTTCTTCGAGTCTTTGACAGACTTCCTGATTTGTAGAAGAATGAAGATTAAGAAGAAACAAAAGGGAGCAACAGTACGAGGGAAGAAGTGTGGGGAGCAAGGAGAGAAAGAAATGTCCAAGAAAGAAAGAAAGAAAGGTTCATAGTTCATACCTAAGGATGGGCAGAAGGAACGAAGAAGAAAGGAGATGGGGCGGAAGGGAAGAATAGGAAGAGAGAAGGAAAAAATAAAAACTAGATAAAGAAAATGATTTTTTTAACGAAATACATGGGATGCCACATCAGCCAAATGACCGCATCATCACAAGTTAATTTCTAAATTTGAGTGTTTTTGTGAAGTTGTTGAGCTTAATTGAGTGCTTTTTTTTAGTTTGGAGCTTAATTGACTATTTTGATATATTATGACAATTTATTTGACAATTTCCCCTATAATAATGTTTCAAGCTTTAACATTTTCACATTTATTGTTAATAGTTAATACTGACATGTGACATCTCATCTGTATAAACTTATCATTATTTCCATCAAACAAAACCCTCAAGGCCAAATGACGGGATGAAGCTAAGGAGGGACTTAACTAAATTCCTGCCTACTGAAATTTGAAAAATACGCCAAATAACTCTGTGTCTGTATTTTATGTGTAAATATTTATCTAGAGTTTTTTTTAGTACTTACTCGAAACCCCTCCAAAACACACAACCCAACCCGCCTACCACCCCAAACTTAAAAAAATTGGCCCAAACTTGAACCGGGCCATCCGAGTCGGTTCCAAAGAATCCTACAGCCCGAGCCCGCCTCCAAAACACCCCCGGATCAGGTCCTAAGCCCGAGCCCGGACAACTGGGCCGGTCCCGCACAATGGCACGGCCAAGCTGACCAGAACCAGGCCATCCCTACGTGTGCAGTTGTGCTCCTAGCTACCATTGGATTCAACTTATAATAGCACATTTAACTAGGCATAGACTGGGCCCGAGCCGGTTCAAGCCGGGCTTTTTTTTCAGGATGTTTTGCCCAGAACCGACCCTGGTTGATACCAAGTCCAGGCCGAGCTAGGACTGGCCCGGTTCAAGGTATTTTTTTTGGCTTTGTAATTAACCCCGACCCCCTCCCTCACCCCACCCCCCAAACCCCCACAAAACACCCAACCCTACCCCAAGGAAAAGAAAAAGAAATTGAAAAAACCAAAAAAAAAATGAACCAGGCCCAGGCCGGTTCATGAAAATCAAGGCCCGAGCCCAGCCCACCAGACCCACCCAAACTGGGCTAAAGCCCGGAACCGGTCCAGGTCTGGTCCGGTCCAGGCCCCCACAGTAGCGGGCCAGTCCGGTTCCCGGGCCGGTTCAAACCGGTTGGGTCCATCCCTACGTTTGACATCCCATCCAACCATTCACCCAAAATATCAGAAAACAAATCATGCTCATTAATTACGCAAGCCCAGTATGTAGTATAGTACTATTAAACTATTACCCTCTCTTAACATGGAGGCATAGCCTAATATGGATGTAGTCAAGCAAGCAGGAAGAAATATGTAGAGCGTGAGTGTGACATGTGGTGACAATAATCCGTTCCAAGTGATGATTAACAAATTGCATCCATTTCTTGATATAAAAATTAAAAACTACATAACGAAATTAGAGTCTCTGTCATTACATGCTAAGACACAAACACGATATCACAAAATGGAAAAACGACTTCACATCTCCTACCGGCCTCTGCCACGGCCTCTCCCACGTCCACGGCCCCGACCACGGCCCAGTGGCTTACCTGTATAGGGACAATGAAAAGGATGCAATATTATCACTAGCTAACCAAATAAAAGGCTAGCTTAATGCTTGAACCATCTACTTTGAGCCAAGCAAATGTTAGGGAGGAAAATAAGGACAGGCAGTATTTGAGGGAAATAACAGTAGTTTCAAACTTAATCAACTTTAGACATTAATTCAGACTGAATTTAGTTTAGTTATACATTTCTATTAAATAGGCACTATAAATTATACCTATGGACCCACCTAGTAACATAATTTTGCTTCTTCAGCTTATTTATTTTGCTTATCAGAAGAATAAGCAGAATAAATAGCTCAAAATATGCTCACCATCCCAATTTTTACTTTCCTCTTCCTTTATGGACTATCCTAAAAAATCCCTTATCTTTCTATGGAATTAATAGTGTGACTAGCCAACTAATCAACTATTACTATGTTCTCTGATCATAACTCATCTACAACATTTCACTTTCTTATTAAGTGAGCCGATCTAAATTGAGATGAAAATTTTAGGAAAGAAATGCATTTGGCTGCTATTGATAATACCAAAATCTCTTTCCTCAAAATTTCAGCAGATTCGGCTTTCACTGAGAGCCCTTACAAAATAGGATTTATAAACGTCAAAAATCAAGAGATTTCAATCAATTTTCTTTTTCAGTTGCAAATTTTACTGTAAAACCAAAAACATTTTTCTTGCCTGCCATTTTTTAATAAAAAATCACGTCCCTTCTGTTTTTTGTGTTTTAAGCATAGCCTGAACAAGCAGACCAAGATGGGATAAGGAATATACCAGTAGTTGGTTTCTTAGGCTTCACTTTAGGAGTTTCTTCCACTAGCAAAGTCTCAAGATTTAAGCTATCAGGTAGGATATAATAGCGAATGTTGTTTCCCCTCACACTCAGGTGATCCATAGTCACAGGATTCTTTCCCTTTGGAGTGAGCTTTACTGTCTTCAGGTGTGTGTTCATACTGACATCAACTCCTGTAAGCAGAAAAGAACAGGTACAACCTTAGCACTAAAATTTGAGCATGAAACTCATATTCCTAGTTCCTACAGACACATATTGGAAACTTCAACTATGAACACACACATACACCCCGCCCATAAGTAAAGAAAGCTTAAAAACTGGAATAGATGATAATTTCTGAAATTTTCCCAATCATAGAGATAGTTTGTTTAATACACATATCAATTTCCTGACAAATATTTCAATCTAATAAGCATATTACACAAAAAGGTCATATTATCCCAAGTAAACAATTCTCGAACGTGTATTAAAAAAAGGAGTAACAAAATGTTTCACCAAATATCTTTGCTCTAACATGTTAGCTGTAACATCCAGAAAATTTAGACAAGGTGTTTTATATTTGCCCTCCATTATCTCTAGTAACTAAAAGTAGCCAGTGTGCAGATACTTTCAAAGTATCATCTAATAAACCATGCTGTAGCATTTGGAAAACACCCACATTGCAATAAATTATTGCAAAGCAAAACCTCACCCCTTTTCAACCACAATTTCAACCTCTTAGTTCAGAAGCTTCCTAAGGGCAGTGTCAACAAAAATTAGACGTTGCAGACAATTTCATTTGCAACTACTAGAAGTAACTCTTGGTAGAATAAAACATAAAATTGTGAAAGCTGCGAACCCATGTATATTCCAAAATCAGTGTACATTCAAGAGTATTTAATAGTAAAATGATGGAAATACATTTGAAAATTCTTATTCAATATTATATTCGCTCATTACAAACCACAAACAATTGGAGAGTCAGAAGATTCTACGATCTTCTGGGAAAAGATTTTGGGTGGAATTTTCACGACCTTCACAATGAGCTTGAATTTGATTCAGAATCTTACATAAGACAATTTTACCACAGTACTACTCCGTACATAAGACAAGTATACAACAGCCCAGTTATTTTAAGTTAAAAGCCTCAAACACAAACTATTCACCTCGATAAGCAGATCTAAATCCCCCAACAAACTATACAAATAAGATAATAAAAACTGTGTGAACGAAAGAGACCTGTAATAGTTCCATGAACAACGGTGCCATTTTTTAGCTCAATCGAGACAGTCTCATTGTTCAATTTCATCAAAAACCTACAGAAGCAAGCAAGAAACCCCAGAAATAGCAGAAATTAGCGTTATATAAACATACGGTATCAGGAATAATGTAGCGATAAAAATCTAGAACATACCTGACGAGCTTCATTGCTTAGAGCAGAGAAGCTAGGGCTAGGTGGGAGCGGGAAGAGAGCAAATGTTTCACAGGCTTAGAGAAGGAGAAGGGTTTAGGGTAGACGGTCTAAGCAAATGCGAAGTATAAACTTTATTCTGTAGAGCCGTCCTACGACGTCGTCGGCACGCTGTCTTTCATTTTCTACCGAGTACTACTTTATGCAATTACCTTGTCGAAAATAATTTAAATATTCTAAATTTTGGAGTGTCATGCAATTATCCTAAATTAACACATGTAATATATATACTTCACTTTTTATAAATGCAATTTTATGGTGTTAAGTATATACTCCATCCGTTTCAAAAAATTCTTCCAATTTTCCTTTTCGGACCGTCCCAATAAATTCTTCCAACTTTTTTAAAAAAAGAAAGCAACCCATATTGAAAACCCTATTTTGCCCTTCCTTTTTTTAAATTCTTCTGCACCCCCTTTCTCATTTACCTCATCCTCATCCCTCTCTCTCTCATTTACTACCTTCGCCTCCCTCTTTCTCGATCACTGCATCTGTCTCCCTCTCTCAATTACTCCATCGTCTCCCTCTCTCATTTACTCCAACCGTCTCCCCCTCTGTAATCTATCTACCCTTCTGCCTTCCTTTCTCTCACAATCTTCTTTAGTGTGAAGCGGACGATTTGGATCTAAACCCTAACTCAACAACTAACCCCTTCAACCGAAGACCCTGTATCGGACCTCCGTCCGGCCTGCATAGATCAATACTCCCCGGAAGATGATGACCTGCTGATAATTCTGAATAGTGAAGACGATCTTGCAGAGGATGTTTGTGAGAAGCCCACAGAGGTTGTGGCGGAGATTATTAAAGAGGTCATCGTCTCTGACAGTGAAGAGGTTCTTGTTTGTGGCAATGTGGTGGCGATGGTGATTCTGGAGGTTGCGCCAGAGACGGTGGACCTTATTCGGAGATGTCCTTGGCTGGAAGAGTTCCTAAAACTAATGATACCTAAATGGGAAATGAGGATGTGGGACGTCGACACATATTAGGGGAGTTTCTTCTTTACCCTATCTTGGTTGATGGTTTAATTCGTACTTTGTGTCCTACGTGTGTTTTTTGGAGGAAGCAATGATGAAAAATGGTTATAATGATGTTTAATGTGATGCATGTGGATTGTAAATGGTTGTTTGGTTTGACTACTGATAGTTAATTCATTGTGTGACTACCATTTGGACTGCCTACTGGTTCTTTATGCATACTGTGATGAAAGTATCCCTTTTGTATACTCGGTCTTTATGCATATTGTGATGAAAGTAGGTGACGACACTAAAGTCGTTGTGTGCCTCAAAATAAATTCAATACTAGCACTAATACGTATGTTGAGGTTTATTTCCTTCAACCCGTAGGCCCAACACGTAACCTAAGGGTCTCGAGTGGATGATGGATAAGTGAGATGAAGAACAAACAAGGAAAAGGTCCAATAATGAGCGTTTTATCACTGGAAACGATTACAAAGCCGAAGGGCCGTTCGTACAGTGATATGCTACGTGCTGATACAAATGCTAGAGTGCTAGAGTCCTCAATTACGAACCCTTTACAGTGAAATAAATGCTACTATTTATACTGCCAATGGGTGGTTGGATGTGTCGACGTGGCTGATTGTGGGCGACATGATCCCAACCACCAAATCTTCTGCATTAAATGCGCTTCCCCTCAGGATCTTGGTTTCCCTCCATGAGGAGGGGACGTCCGTCCCCAAGGCTTTGGCTCATGTCTCCTGTTGGAGTCCTCTTCCCCTGCCAAAGGGCGGGGACGTTCGTCCCCAAGTACTTGAGTTATCCTTGATCAATTCCTTGAGCTACTCTTGGCCTCCTGTCAAGGGGTGGGGACATGCGTCCCTATGTACCCTACGGGAGTCTTGGACCTGGATACTTGCTGACCATGGGGTACGTACGTCCCCTGAGACTTATCTCCCTGCTGAGGGTGGATCTCCTCTCGAACCAGCGAACAGGTATCCCCTCAGCTTGGGCTTCCAACAGGACGTTCGTAGGGAATCCTCGTGGGCCTTCTGAGGGCGTTCGTCGGAAAGCCCCGATGGATTGTTGAACCGCTCATAGGAGGCTTCTATGGGTTGGTGGGCCGCTCCTTGTTGGGCCATTAACCCAACACAAGTCCCCCACTTCTGATGTTCCGAGGGTGCTCGGGACATAAGGAAGTAGAAATGCTCCCGACGTACCGCCCTACCGATGCCCCTGATGTGACGGTTTCTTTTCCACCTGTTGTTCACGGGGCTCTAGGTGACAATTATGCAGGCCGATTCATCTTCCGATGAAAGTGTAATCATTGCGTGCATGTACGTCTCCACGCGACACATGTCCATGGGTACGCTCCTCGCCACGCGTCATACACGGATTGGACAGGGGTAAGGTGTCCCTCCCTTTAAATATTAGACCTTCCATGTGGATTAGGGCTTTCACTTTCCTGCCTTGTTCGCCAATTGAACCCACTCTCTTCCTTTCCTCTGCTTCATCTTTCAATATGGTCTATTCTATGGAGATATCTTCCGAGTCAAGTTCTGGGTCGGGCTCTTCTACCGGCTCGTCTTCTGGTTCGGGCTCTAGTTCCCGTTCCTCGGGGGAGGGGAGCACTTCCGGCCACTCTGGTACATTCGTCGTGGTGGGGCAGGTTGTGGCAGATATGGCTCTCCCTGGGGTGTGGGAGCAGAAGTTGATATGGATATCGCCCCTGGAGGTGACCGGATGGCGGCGGCCCAAGCAAACGCCAGGGTTGATCGCCCCGTTGACTAAGATTCTGGTGACGAAGCGATCGAAGGGGATGACCTGCAGATTCTTGACCTTGCCATTCATGTGGACGTCTCCCGCCATATCGTGCAGATTCATAATGTTTCCGGGATCCATTAAACTTTCTCGCACAAGTCTTTGAAAGATCTGCAGATCCTCCTTCCCCGCCGTTCATCTAAAGTTGCGTGGTGCGGATAACCTGTTCATGAGACGTTCGGGAATGATCATGGTTCATATGGACTCTATCAAGGCCAGATTGTGCTTCCTCTTCCCCAGTTCTACCTTCCCTTCTTATGTCGTTATAACGTTGTACCGACACAATTCATGCCCAACTCGTACCGGTTTATCTCCGCATTTATTATCCGCTGCCAATCGAAGGGGTTGACTCTGAACTTGGACCTCTTCCACCACTTCTTCCAGGTTTCTCCCCAAAACGCCGATGGGTTTTTGAGCGTAGCCGCTCGTCCTCGTCAGAAGTTATTTGACGGTGCCCCGTCCTCCATTCATGATTGGAAGAATCGCTTCTTCTTCCTCCATTAGTTGGACGAACAACTACCTGTGAGGTGGAATGGCTTTCCCCTGAAGATCAAACAGCCCACGCTGACCGTCGAATTGGAAGAAGCTGTAAAGAATTTGAAGCTGGGCGGCGTCCAAAGCTTGAAGGGTTTTCTGACCATTCAGGCACTCTCTGACGCATGGATAGGTACCGCCCGTGATCCTTGGATTCCTTCGCTCTTGGTTATCTTGTGGACTCGGGCGGTCCAGTCCCTACGGTGAGTACTCTTTGAGATTCGTACCGCCCGGTTCTAACATTTTCTGGTTTTTATTTCAGGTCCTCCCCTACTCCGGAGCAGATGGAAGACCAAGCTTTGATGGCTCGTCATGAAGCCAGGGCATCCAAACAACGAGCTGCGTTGGTGAAGGCCTGAGGGGCCAATGTATCTTCTGAGGCCAATTCCTCCGCTGCGTCCCAGGCCAATCGACGTGTTGGGGAGGCCGAGCAGCATCTTATTGCGGCGGTGACTGGGCAGAGCTCAGAGGTCCCGGATGCTGAAGCCGGTCCGGGTCTGGATGTGGAGCCGATGAACGTCGCCCCCCGCAGGTGGTCATAAGGACAAAGGGAAGAAACCGAAGAGGCAGCGCACCGAGCCCTCCGGTCCCAAGGCCACTGAAGTCGTGCTTCCCATCACAGGATTCACAGGTCACCCGGTTCCTAAAGTCTGGAGGGATATGGCCCTTCAAACTGGGGTGGAACTACCAGCCCGCTCCTCAGGCGAGGCTATTAAACATGCCCTGGCGCTGACCTTCGCGGTACGGCCCTACCTCTTTGTGCTTTCGAGGATATGCCCCCCCCCACTTTGTTTTTCAACCTCTATCTGTCGTTCGTCTATTTATGGTCCCATGTTTTCCCCTTTGTAGGTTGGACTGAGCCTGTTGCAGGCAGAGGCTGCTCGGGAGCAGGATGCCGCCGAGACCAAAAGGAGGGCTGATGAAGCTCCGAGGGAAGAAACTGAGGTCGTGCGGGCGAGAGAGGCGGATGCCCTGGCTGAGAAGATCAAACTCCAGGCCGTTCTGGATCAGGCCCAGAAGGAGCTCCAAGCCGTCCGGGATCAGGCTCAGATGGAGAGGCAAGATCTTCTTGCTAAGGTGGCCTTGGCCGAAAACACGGGATCTCCTTTGTTCTTGCCGTTGTTCCTGCTCCGGCTCCTGAAGGTGGGGCCGCTCCCTACGCCGCTCTCACTTTGGTCCTTAATATTGATCAATTCAAGAAGACGCCTCATTTCCTGAAGGCCGCACATGATTACTGTCGGGGGGCCGTGGGGGACGTCTTTGAAGATGAGCTGCAGGTCGTGCCTCGTAGGGAGCGTCTGGCCCATGGGGTGCAGCTTTTGAAGAGAAAGGCGGTCGATTTTGAATGGATGCTTGACCTCGCGGAAGATAGCTTTGCGAAGAGGTATTATCTAGGCGTGAAGGGCCTTAAGCAGATCCTCCCCCAGGTCGGTTGTCCACCCTTCAACATGGATGACTACACGGAAGAGAAGGAGCTCCGACGGGTCGTGGCCAAGGTTGATCAAGACCTGAGATAAACCGAAGCCGTGCAGAGAGGTGAGGTTCCTGAGCCCCCGACCTCGGAACTTATCCTCGAAGAGGAAAATGAGGAGCTGGAGTCCTCCGTCCAGGGTTCCCCTACTCATGGCTTCCTGGAATGATCCCTTCCCTGCTTTCGTTTTTTGCTCGCCTGTACGTTCTGGCCGGTAGAGCCGAAGAATAAAGTCCTCTTTTTGTTCATTGTTTGTCCAGTGATTTTTGTTTGATGTTTGAATGTCCGCCCGTGTATAAGTAGGTATATATAGGTATCTCCCTGGTGGGAATAAACTGATTGAAGTATCCCC